CTGCTGAACTCCGGGTCTATGTGTGCATCATGAAGATTTCCAGTACAGTATCTCTGGGTGTGGCTGTGTGTAGTGAAACACCACTGTCAGCCAACATCCTGAAACTAAGGCATGTCATTTTAAAAATTAGATTATTGTATATTTCATCACAAAATAAAAACAAACTGAAATATTTTTTAAAAATTCAATTTTGTTAATTTTTAATTACATTTATTAAAATTCTTGGGAAGAATTAGTTAGAGGTCCACTGAGCTGCTTTTTCAGGACTTTGAAACATGTCCTCACCCAGTTGGCATTAAACTCCAGTGTAAAGGGCCGTGCCAGTGTTTGTGGATGGACCCTTTTCTTTTCAAACTAGCTTAGAGACTTAAATATAATAAGCTTTATTTACACTGCACTGTTTTGTTTTTTACAACAAAGAGGTTTTAAATGGGAAATAAAGCTTGGTAAACACTGCAGTCAAGAAACAGAGTGGAATAAAATCCACAGAGGAAATGAGCTTTTAAAGAATGAAAATAAAATGAAACCTAATAAATAAAATACGAGGGATGTTTTAGAAGTGGAAATACGCAGCAGCAGAGAGCTGGAAATGAGCTCTGGGGTCATATCACCATTGTTACATCTGAACATGTTGGTAGATCATGTTTTTAACACTGATGTGTGGAAGTCGAACGACAGGAAACAGCCTGTTCACCTCCAACAGTCATACTGACCGCCTGCTGCAGAAGCTGTCAAACGTCTGTTGCTCCCTGAGGAGCCTTTACGGGACCCGAGCTGCTCTCAGGGGAGACCCGCCTCCTTTTTTCACCCCGGAGCCTATGGACGTGTGTGGTCGACCTATCCACGCCAAAATAATCAATGGACCCATCGAGTTCTTCTTCAGCCAGGAGTGGGAGGGGACTTTTCATTAATGTGTCCAGAACAGAATGAAGAGAAGCTGAGGATTCCCTCCCGGCACCTCAAGCCTGATGTGTCCACAGAAGTGTGAACAGGCCAAACCAGATGTTCTCAGATCTTGGCCGCCTGCATCTGGACGGAGCCTCAGTGAACTGATTCACTCTTTATCCTGTTTTATTGTTAGCCACACAATCTGAATGGCAAAAGTATATTTTATTAAAAACATGTTGTACATGTCTGAACATGAACATGTTTTCTGCAGAAGGTGTTTAACTTACATTCCCTCGGCGGTCAGTTTATTAGGAACCACTGTGTCAGACTGATCCAACAGTCTTGCAGTAAAGCCTCCTTCATGGAGGTGATGCTGTTCAGTCTGTGTTCCCGCTGGTTCACCGAGGTGCTGGTTCACCTGTGTGGTCACTGTGGAGGCTGCAGTGTGGTGTTGCTGCTCAGCTGACAGCACCAGAAACAGCTGACTCTAACACAGTACAGTCCCACAAGATATTACATCCACATCTGGTTTGTCGCAGCACACGCGTGAATCTTAATGAATGAGACCATTTGTTTGTATAAAACCTGATGAGAGTCCAGCTGCTCTGAAAACATCTGATCGTTTGTCACTGTTGCCTTTAACAACCTCCAGCTCTTGTTTTTCTGTTCAGAGCCGTTAGTCGACTTCTTTCTTCTTCTGGCTCCAGGAAGTGTTGAGGTGCGACAACACTAACACTGGTTCTTCTTCTGCAGTTGTAACAACGCAGCGGTGCAGCTTCAGCAGATCATCAAGGTTTTCACCATCAGAGCCTCAGTTTGTCTCGTGTGGACTGAAAACAAGGTGCCGAGTTGGATTAGACACAAACGGGCGATCAGCTCTGAAACTACCAGATGATTGATTATGTGGGTTGAATAATCTTCAGATTAAGGCCTTTTATTCTTCTGGCTGCCCTGAGCCGTTTATCCTCACCCAGAGCTGATCTCCATCCTTCATGCCTTTGTTGTTTTATTTCTGCCTTTTCTAATTAATGTGCTGTCTGTTTGAGAGCAGGCTGCCGGCAGCACACTGGAACAACCACAGGCCAGAGATCAGCGTTAAAGCTCACGTGACGTTCACTAGGTGCACAGCACTGCTCTGTCACTCAATTAACAAAGTCGGCTCCGGTTTGTGTTGAGTATTCACTGTGTCCATCCCTGAGGTGCAGCACTGTGCGGTACAGTCGCTGAGTCCTGCTCGCTGCAGAGGAACCCCAGGGCTGGAATAATCAGGCCAGTTAACTGAACAGGCGGCTGAAAGAAAATGAACTGGCAGCAGTTGTTTTACCCGACTGAGTGGCTGAACCCATTTTTAAAGTTGGGCGTCTCCTGGTAGCGGCCTCTCAGGTGTGATGATTTGCTCTCTCCACAGTTTCCTGACAGTGAACTCACCATCTGTGTGTTTTGGACAGGACAGAAATCAACACGTTCACTCAGGCTTCAGCTTGTGATGGTGCTGTTAACTGTCCACACAGGACAGTTCATCGCTTATTGAATAGCTGTCAGATGTACCGATAATGAAAAGAGCCCTTGGCTGCAGCTCTATTGTTGCTCTGTCAGATCACTAAGCAGAGGACTCGAGGCCCAAGTGTCTGACCAGGTGAGTCCCACCTGTGCGTCCCTCTCTGTGAACCCTCACATTCAGACACTACGGCCTGTCTGTGCTTCTACATACAGTAGCTGGAGTGGCTCCTAATTCTCTCCTGTTCCTGATGCTTCCTCAGAGGAAGTAGAGGCATTAACACAACTTTACACAGCGCGTAACCTTTGACCTTGAGTCAGTGCCAGCTCTGTGCAGGAGCCGGCTGCTCCTGTGTCTGATATCAGCCTGACCTGCCTCTGCAGAGAGAGAAGACAGGTCATCTGTGAGACCTGTGAGACGACATGTTGACACACTGCAGTGTGTGACTGTCAGTGACCGATTCGGCTACATGAACAGTGTCTGATCCACACGTGAAAAAATCAGGCAGCTGTAGCTTGTCCACAACCAGAGGCCAAATCACCTGTTCCTCAGCCCCTGGATCAGGGCTGTGCCTGCACTGGGGAATGGCTCACCTTACCACCGCTCTCCGGTAAGCTTCTGCTGCTCCTCAGCCTGATGACAGCAGCTCCTGTTTGTACACAGGCCAGCAGATCCATTACTCTTTAAAAAGCATGAACTGTTTTTTACAAAGTGAGCAGAGCTGTGTCAA